AAGGCCAAAGTGTCCCACTCTAATCCGCTAATTAAGCCATAACACCTGCAAAGGGTTCCTGAGCCTTTAAATGGTCTCTCAGTCTGGTTCAGTAGGAATCACAATCATGGGAAAGGCTGCTGACCTGACAGTTGTGCAGAAAACCATCATTGACACCCTCCATAAGGAGGGAAAGCCTCAAAAGGTAATTGCAAAAGAAGTTGGATGTTCTCAAAGTGCTGTATCAAAGCACATTATTAGAAAGTTATGTGGAAGGGAAAAGTGTAGAAGAAAAAGGTGCACAAGCAGCAGGGATGACCGCAGCCTGGAGAGGATTGTCAGGAAAAGGCCATTCAAAAGTGTTGGGGACTTTCACAAGGAGTGGACTGAGGCTGGGGTCAGTGCATTAAGAGCCACCACACACAGATATATTAGTTTCACCTTTTAAGTTGCATTACTGAAATAAATGAACTTTTGCACGGTATTCTAATTTTTTGAGTTTCACCTGTATGTATGATTTGATCATCTTCTATGCAAAAAGAGATTGTGCTCTGACCTTATGATCTTTCTCTATCCACTCCTCTGAAGGGTGTTCTGGCCTGACTTCAATTATACATTTCCATGTACTTTCTCCATAGTTTCATCTTGCATTTCCAAAACTGGCAGTTCTGGTTTGTCAGATTGAAAGCTTTGTTGCAGCTGTGTTACTTGCCATTTTATTCTGTTTGAAGTATTCTTTCTGTTGCTGTATCTTGCACTCTTTTGCTGTGACAGGCTATGACTGGGTGTTTGGGTGGGCGTCTGGGCCCATAACTGGTTAGAGATTGTGTATATTGCCCTACAGAACAGACAATGCTCAGTCCACGTGTTTACCTGCTGCTTCTCTATAAACAGGAACTTTTTTTTATAGAGAAAAGACATAGAGATTAACCATAGATGCAGCTGCAAACTTATAAACACTGTCCTCTACTGGTTGAAGAATATATCTCCACTGAATACTGATGTAGTTGTACAAAAAAATACATGAACAAGGTATTCTAACAGCTAGCCAAGGAGGAGAGGAGAGTGTACTTCCTTTGACTCCTTCAGGTCTACTTTCAGCACAGTTGCCTTGGTGAAGGCACATCACAGGGCATGTTGGCTGCATGATGTCACATTAAAATGTAGAGGTGAGATGGTATTACAGGTATTTTCTTAATTTTATGTCAATATTCTGTTAAAGTACAACTAAAGGCAAAACTTTTTTTTTTTTTTTTTTTTTTTTTTAGTCTTGGATAGAGTGGAGAGGGTTTAGAATGCTTTTCAGTTTTTATTGCAGTGTGTGTTAGGGAGATTCACCTTCTCTATTGTGCCAAAATGTTTTTGACAGTCTCATCTGCTGATAAGGGTGGACAACTGCCATCTCCCCAGCTCTGTCGACTGCAAAATTAGCAGGAGTCTGAAGTCATCCCCATTTTAAAGGCTCGACACTATCTGAAAATTGCTTATCATTTTTTTGCAAGCTCATTTTGAGCAAAATTCACATGGAAAATTGTATATAATAGGAAATTAATAGAGACAAATAGAGCTGTGTAATTCCAAAGCCATTGTTTCTAATTTTTAGGGACTCTTTAATGACTGGCATAGTTTCACTAGTTTGGTGTAAGGCCAATGTGGTGCCTATATTTAAAAAGAGATCAAAGTCTTTACCAAGCAGCTTTAGCTCTTTATCTTCTATAGTTGGGAAAATACTGTAGAGTTTAATAAAAAAACTCATAGAATAGTTTTTCCTAGAAAAAATATTTTAAGCAACAGACAGCAAGGATTCATGAAAGACAGAAGTTGTCAAACCAATCTTATTTTCTTTTTATGAGGAGGGCAGTGAAACCTTAGACAAAGGAGTGGCTGTGGATATATTATACCTGGATTTTGCACACGTGGCCAATGTGTAAAGTGAAGTCTAAAGTCTTGAAAATTCAGTTTGTAAATGAATAGAAAACTGGCAAAAAGACTGTAATCAGAGAGTAGTGGTCAATGATTCATACTTTGAATGTTCTAAGGTTATCAGTGGTGTACCCCAAGGTTCAGTGTTGGGACCGTTCCTTTATAATATATTTATAAACAATATAAAGTCAGGGATTAAAAATCCCATTTCAGTCTTTGCAGATGACACCAAGCTGTGCAGTGGAATAACGTCCTTACAGGATGTCTCCAATTTACAAGCCAACCTCAATGCACTGTTTCATTGGGCAACTGTGTGGTAAAGAAGGTTTAATGTTAATAAATGGTGAAGGATCTGGGGGTTGTGGTAGATTATAAGCTTATAAACTTTGATCAGTCGATTGCTGACGATACCTCTTTTAATATAAGATAGGATTTTGCTTGCTTTAGAAACTGCAGCTTGGCATTGCATGCCATTATTAGGGTTGTGATCTACCAGAACTCCCAGATCCTTCTCCACCATTGACCCCCCCCCGTATGTATGATGCATGCATATTCGTAGCCCCCAAGTCCATAACCTTACATTTATCAACATTAGACCTCATTTGCCACATAGTTGCCCAATTAAACAGTACATTGAGGTCAACTTGTAAATTGGAGACATCCTGTAAGGACGTTATTCCACTGCACAGCTTGGTGTCATCTGCAAAGACTGAAATGGGATTTTTAATCCCAGACCCTATATTGTTTATAAATATATTAAAAAGTAATGATCCCAACACTGAACCTTGGGGTACACCACTGACAACCCTAAACCATTCAGAGTATGAATCATTAACCAATACTCCCAGAATACGATATTTTAGCCAGTTTTCTATCCATTTACCATACTGTTCGCTCCATAAGACGCACTTTTTTCTCCCCAAAAAAGGGGGGAAAATGTCAGTGTGTCTTATGGAGCGAATATGGAGCGGCCGGTCTGGTGTCAGAATACAACAGGACCTTACCTGTTCCTCAGTCCATCTCTGTACTGTCTTCCCGCGCCAGAATCTTTAGTTTGGGCACCCAGCTGTGACAGCCGGGTGCCCACTGTGCATGCGCGAGAAGCGCTGCACTTTGTGAATGGCCCGGCGTCTTCTTGGACCTGGCATGTGTTCCATTAGATGCTGGGCCATTCACAAAGCGCAGCACTTCTCACGCATGTGCAGTGGGCACCCGGCTGTCACAGCCGGGTACCCACTAAAGGGAGGACAACTCCGCAGAAGTGGGAGCGGGTACCTGTCAAATTTAGGTGCCCGCTCTTCCTCCCTCCCCAAAGGTCCACAGTCTCTGGTCATCCCCTGTACTGTCTGCAGTCTCTGGTCATCTTCTGTACTGTCTGCAGTCTCTGGTCATCTTCTGTACTGTTTGCAGTCTCTGGTCATCTTCTGTACTGTCCGCAGTCTCTGGTCACCCCCTGTACTTATGTTCGCAGTCTCTGGTTATCTCCTGTACTGTCCGCAGTCTCTGGTATCTCCTGCACTGTGTCCGCAGTCTCTGGTCATCACCTGTACTTTGTTCACAGTCTCTGGTCATCTCCTGTACTATGTCTGCAGTCTCTGCTTATCTCCTGTACTATGTCCACAGTCTCTGACCATCTCCTGTACTATGTCCGCAGTCTCTGGTCATCTCCTGTAATATATCTGCAGTCTCTGGTCATCTCCTGAACTGTGTCCAGTCTCTGGTCATCTCCTGTACTGTGTCCGCAGTCTCTGGTCTTCTCCTGTACTATGTCCACAGTCTCTGGTCTTCTCCTGTACTATGTCCGCAGTCTCTGGTCTTCTGTACTATGTCCGCAGGCTCTGGTCATCTCCTGTACTATGTCTGCAGTCTCTGATCATCTCCTGTACTGTGTCTGCAGTCTCTGGTCATCTCCTGTACTGTGTCTGCAGTCTCTGGTCATCTCCTTTACTATGTCTGCAGTCTCTGGTCATCTCTTGTACTGTGTCTGGAGTCTCTGGTCATCTCCTGTACTGTGTCTGCAGTCCATTGGTTCAGAATATTTTTTTTCTTGTTTTCCTCCTCTAAAACCTAGGCGCGTCTTATGGTCAGGTGCATCTTATGGAGCAAAAAATACGGTACATACAGATTTTTCCAAGCCTGTAGACTTTACCTTACACATTAGCCGTGTGTGGGGAGCTGTGTCAAACACTTTTGCAAAATCCAAGTATACCACGTCCACCATCACCCCTCTGTCCAAAGCTTTGCTCACCTCCTCCTAAAAAGAAATCCGATTTGTTTGACAACTTCTGTCTTTCATGAATCCATGCTGTCTGTTGCTTAAAATATTTGTTTCCAGCAAGAACTCATCTATGTGGTCTTTTATTAAACTCTCCAGTATTTTCCCAACTATAGAAGTTAAAATAACAGGTCTATAATTACTTGGTAAAGATTTTGACCCCTTTTTAAATATTAGCACCACATTGGCCTTACGCCAATCCAGTGGTACTATGCCAGTCATTAAAGAGTCACTGACAATTAGAAACAATGGCTTTGAAATGACAGAGCTCAATTCTTTAAGGACCCGTGGGTGTATGCCATCTTGTCTAGGTGCTTTATTCACCTTTTATTCTGTCTAAATATTTTTGGATTATATCAATTGATGTGGATCATCTGGAGCTGTGTCAATACCATGCCCATTATGGACAAGAGCTCCCCCATTCCCCCATGGCATCATCAGCAGAGGAAGGCATCAGACACCTGCACAGAACCTTTAATGTTGGATGTCTTATGTGCGTAGATGTTGTTGCATTATGTAAAACTATTAGTTTAGTTTTTTACATATAAAATGGAACATCTCAAGATACATAATTTTAAAGGGTGCCTTGACTGAAAAAAGGTTGATTAACACTGGACTAAAATAATATAACTTTCGTTTTCTTTTTTTTCCCAGGAAACCCCAATAGACAAAATCTTGTGAGAACATGAAAAAAATAAACAGTTGGATGATTTTCTCGATTTTAATATTAATAGTCATTGCAAATATATTCTTCTGGTACATTCCTGCAAGAAGATCTATAACATTTTGCACAAACACAAGCACAAAACAAACCCTTAATGCAATGAATCCTGAAAATAGGATGCCCAAAAACAATGACCATGCCTTTGAACCCACTGGTGTGTGGACTGTGGAACCTTCAGGACGTCTTGGAAACCTCATAGGGCAATATGCAACGCTTTACGCGTTTGCCAAACGGCATGGACATCAAGCTTACATCTTACCCTACATGCATTCAGCACTATCTAAGATTTTTAAGATAAAACTGCCGGTTATTAATCGGGAAGTTGCAGACCGAATACCATGGAAAACCTTCAGAATATACAATAACTGGATGTCTGAAGAATATTATAACATATCTGGACAGTATGTTAAACTTTCTGGTTATCCCTTTTCATGGACCTTCTATCATCATCTCAAAGAAGAGATTCTTAAGGAATTCACTTTCCATGAATTTATTAGAGAGGAAAGCAATGCCTATCTTGCTGATATACGGGGGAACAAAACTAACACCACCTTCATTGGTATACATGTCCGTAGAGGTGACTATGTAGATATTATGCTAAAGAGCAAGAAAGGTGTGCTAGCTAGCAAAAAGTACCTGGATAAAGCAATGGAGTATTTTAGAAAAAAATATACAAACCCCTTGTTTGTGGTGACCAGCAATGATCTAGTTTGGTGTAAATCGAATATCAATAATTCCTTGGGAGATGTTTACTTTATTGGAGATGGAAAGGAAGGATCACCTGGCCGTGACTTTGCTCTCTTGGTTCACTGTAACCACACAATTATGACCATAGGTACATTTGGCTTATATGCTGCCTATTTGGCTGGAGGTGAAACCATTTATCTTACAAACTATACTTTGCCTGATTTCCCCCGTGTCACAAGATTTAAATATGAGACTATCTTTCTTCCTGAATGGATAGGGATTCCTGCTGATCTTTCCCCACTTTTAAGAAAAGATTAACACTGATATCTCACTGAAAGGGGTAGTATTAAAGTAAACTTGTCAAAAATTTCAATAATTCAAACTCAGCAATTAAAGGAAAAACATGGGCTTATAAAAAAAAAAAGCAAACCTACAGTATATACTTCTATGCTGCAGCATCAGTGTAACATTGCAGCTGTCCCACATCAGCTCTAAGCCTGAGTGAATACATGACTGCTGATCGCTCAGCTCTTGGTCTGCATTGAGCAGAGATCAGTGACTGTCAATCACCGCTGTTAGCTCTGCTCCTCCAGCGCTCACTGCAGTGCCGGGATAAAGAGGTAGCAGGTGCAGCGGGCTCCAGCTATCAGCCTCCAGCTGAGAGGTGGAGCCAACTGTCAATCAAGCATCATCGGGATCCTTCCAGAGCCTGGAGCAGCTCTGCTACGTCAACTGATAGCGAGTTATATAGCTCATTGTCAATTGACTCTGGTTCACAGGAGTGCAAAAGCAAGTGCACTCCTGTGACCCACAAGAGAAGTATGACCAAAAATGTATGGCTTTGGCCATACTTCTCTTTTATGAAAATATACTGTATATGTGGGGTTATTATATTTCAACTTCTTCAGTGTGCATTGTGATACACTGAAAAGTATGCAGCAGGACCATCATTTTTGGCTGTTGAGGTGCGAAAATGCTCTGCTATTGTGCAGCCCTCTGGAAGTGTTGGTGACCTCACTGGAGGCTCTCTTGATTTTCCAGCTGACCACGGTTTTTTTTAAAAATAAATAACTGCAAAACATTTTCCTAGTTTTAGATACAGTGAAGATGGATTCGAGCACCAGTCAGGTTTTTATTGCTGTCTGTGTCCCCGGTAGGGAGATTCACCCTCACTTTTTGTCCTGGTGATCATTATCACAGAAAGTGAAAGTAAATCCGAAATTTTGAGTGGACACCAGAACAGAAATGGAGGGGAAATCTTCCAATGGGGAAATATCTTTTTAAGTAAAATACATTTTCTTTCAGTTGTACTTTTATTGGGTTAATGTAATTTAAGAAAAAAATGATTCTTTTAAAAATGGAGTTTTCAATAAAAGAATACAGAACTTGATGATTCGCTACAATGGTGCTTGTTCAGGCACTTTCTTGTATTGTATGGCAAAATTAGAAACACAAAACATCAGATTGCGCAGATAAAAACACCTCTTAAACACTTGCTGGCCAACCACAGTATTTTTACTGCAAGAGGGCAGGTAGCTGCACATGTGCACTGGCGCATCCTAATCCCATGACCACTGTGTCTGGTGGAAACAGTAGATTACAACGCTTGGTACCTTTCTGCTGATCATAGCGATCACATGATTACAATGTAAACAAAACAGTCATAAATGGCTTCCAAGTTGTGATGCTGTGATTGGCCCACAGCTACTCATAGTACCTGGCACCCTGTACCATGTGATTAGCTGTAGCCAATCACAGATCACAATACTAAGTAAGCTGTTATAAATGAAAGCCATTCATGACCGCTAAAACTATTGCATATAACAGTGATCATCACCTTTTATAAGCAATAACCACAATCTCCCAGAGTAGTATGATATCACTCTGGTGACACAGAACTACTCTGATGAGAGTATGTAAATAAAAAAAATCTAAAAAAGAAGAGTAAATCTTTAGAGTAAAGTTTTAAAAAATTGAATAAAAAATATTATTTTTTTTATTTTTCACATACTGTCACCAGTCAGTATCACTAATCACTGCCACACCAGTCATGTTGATGCTGTACTGCACTGGTAACTATGTAAAAAAAAAATTGTGGAAAAAAAACCACATTTTATTTAATTTCATCATTTTCCAAAACAAATTACAACTCACAATGCCTCTTACTAAATTAAGGGGGGATATGATCAATATGTATAAATACATCAATGGTTCATATAGTGAACTCGGTGTAGAGTTATTCACCCTGAGGTCATCACAGAGGACATGGGGGCACTCGTTACGTCTGGAGGAAAATAAATTTAATCTCCAAACACGGAAAGGTTTCTTCACAGTAAGAGCTGTGAAAATGTGGAATAGACTCCCTCAAGAGTTGGTTCTGGCCAGCTTAGTGGATTGCTTTAAAAAAGGCCTGGATTATTTCTTAGATACACAGAATATAACTGGATACTATCCTTTATAGGTAAAGTTGATCCGGGGAATATCCGATTGCCTCTCGGGGGATCAGGAAGGATTTTTTTTCCTGCAGTAGCAAATTGGATTATGCTTTGTTGAGGTTTTTTTTTGCCTTCCTCTGGATCAACTGTGGGTATAGGATTATAACTTTTTTTTTTTAATGGGTGAACTGGATGGACTTTTTGTCTTTTTTCAGCCAGACTAACTATGTAACTAGCAGCCTAACTATAAAAGAGCTACACATTATAAGATCTTGACTGTATGGTATGACAATGTTCTTGCACTGTGTTATCTTGTGCCACCTTTTTATGTTCGCTATGTTACCCAGCATGAAGAAGCAGCACACTCAGAGTCCAAAGGAGGTTCACAGTGTTATATTTACAGTACATAGTGGTTCCCCCTTGAGGGCCACTGGATTTTTGCTGTGTCCCCCTAATCTCTGCAGAGCCAGGCAACACGCATTTTCCACACTTTCAGGGTCAGTAAAACAGTCCTTGAGCTGGTTTTTGTTGTTTTTATTAGGGGTTATCAACTATGAGGACAATTTCCTAGCAAAACTCTGTACAAAATATGGACCAAAAATCAACAACAGTGTTTTTAATGAGCACTGAATCCCCTTTGGTGTACCTCCTCAAACCCAGTCGAACCTCTTCTCATACACCTGGCTGTCCTGAAGTTATCTCTGGGCAAGAGATTCCAGAATCCACTGTAAAGCAGACCCAAAAGAGAAATAGCTGGGTATTGCTATAGATATTTAGGTATTTTCACCTGGTGAACATGCTTACTGTCTTAGGCTAGGTTCACACCTATGCAGGTTGCAATTGAGCCGTTTCTGCATTGCATTTTGCGTTGCGTTTTTGCACCTACATTTTGCATCGTTTTCGCCATGTTTTTGATGCTTTTTGGGTTTTTAACCCCTTGCCCTCCAGAGGATTTACCCCCCTTCCTGACCAGGCAATTTTTTGCATTATGGCGTTGTGTTACTTTAACTGACAATTGCGCAGTCATGCAACGCTGCACCCAAATCAAATTTACGTCCTTTCTTTCTCCACAAATTGAGTTTTCTTTTTGTGGTATTTTATCGACTCTGCGCTTTTTATTTCTTGCACTATAAAAAAAAAAAGGCCAACAATTTTGAGAAAAAACAATATTTACTTTTTGCTATTAAATATGTCCAGTAAAAAAAATTTTAAAAATCAAATTTCATCATACATTTAGGCCAAAATGTATTCTGCTACATGTCTTTGCTAAAAAAAATCCAAATACATGTAAATTAATTGGTTTACGTGAAAGTTATAGCATTTACAAATGGTGGTATATACTGGAGTTTTTTGGGGGGATGGTTACTAGTAATGGCGGCGATCAGTGACTTATTGTGGGACTACAGCAGGCATTCTGACACTGGGGGAACTGACTTGGTGTCACTGACATCCCCACCAATACAGTGATCAGTGCTAAAAAAAAAACACTGACACTGTACTAATGGCACTGGGCAGGAAGGTGTTAACATGAGGGGCGATCAAAGGGTTAACTGTGTGCTGTGTGTGTTTTACTATGTGCTTCACTGTAAGCACACTGCTTTGTATAGCTGTGCTGTGCACAGCCATGCAAAGCAGTGTGCACGAGCTGACAGGGAGGAGAACTGTTTTGTTTTCAAAGCGTTCTCCTTCCCGGCGGAGATGCTCGGCAATCACCTGGCGCTGGTGAGTAATCACCAGCCAGGACCCAGTGAATGACAGCTACGGCTGCTAATGGTGGTGCGCCTCGCTCACGCCCCCTTCCTGGAAATACAGAATCACATACAGTATCTCACAGAAGTGAGAACACACCCCACATTTTTGTAAATATTTTATTCTATCTTTTCATGTGACAACACTGAAGAAATTATATTTTGCTACAATGTAAAGTAGTGAGTGTTACAGCTTGTATAACTGTAAATTTGCTGTCCCCTCAAAATAACTCAACACACAGCCATTAATGTCTAAACTGCTGGCAACAAAAGTGAGTACACCCCTATCTCACTTCTGTGAGATACTGTATATACAGTATACGTGATTTTGCGCACCCATGCCGCCCTCTAGCAGTATTTCTGCTATAGGATGGTCAGGAAGCTGTTAATTATATATTAATTATATATTTATTATATGTGCCATACAAATACTTACAGACAAATACAGAAAGTTAAAACTGATGGCATTCCTACAGACTACAACATATTACATAGCTATATAACTTAAATTGTAATTTTCATATAAAGCAAGCTAACTTCATAGTCTTAGGCCTCATGCACACAGAATGTTAAAAGAAACTCTCTTAGAAGCCATCCTCCTTGTAGCAGCGTTTTTGCTGAAAAAACACCTAATGTTTATTTCTAGAGATGAGCGAAATATTAAAAAATTCGGTTCGGCTGATTCTTCGAATTCGCCGAATAAATTCGCTTCGAGCCGAATATATTCGCTGCGAATTTAACTTATAAAAAGGGTGTTTCTAGGCTTCAGAGAGCCTTTATATTAGTGCAGAACACTGTACCTTTAATTTAAATGCCCTTGGAGTCTGCTGGGGAAGAGAAATAATACTGTCAGTCAGTATGACATGCAGATGAGTGCCGTCGATCTTAGAATCACCGCACACTTCACTCATTTGGGCAGTCACGGGGCCAAAACCAGAGTGTGGAGCCACAGTGTGGCGGTGGAGGCAGCAGCAATGGGAGGCCATACAGCACCCTATGACAAAATGGAACCCACCAGCAGTGTGAGGAGACCTGAAAGTGGCACATGGCAGAGTGTGGCGATGGAGACAGCAGCAATGGGAGGCCGTACAGGGACCCATGACACACTCTGGACCTGGCAGCAGCATGAGGAGGC